CGATGGTGGAGTTGTGGATGCCCAATGGACTAATGCTTGCCCAACGGCTCCACAATCGGCGCGTATATGAGCAAGCCGCAACGCCGTAATACGCGCTGCGGATCATGGGATGCGCGCGAGGTATGTCGTCCGAACGCTAGCATTAGTCTACAAGGGCGGTGTTATAGTTTGCGAATCCAGCGATTCGCTGGCGAATGGCTGGATCCGGGCATTGCGCCAGCGAATCGACTGATGCACCAGTGAGTTGCACGATGTACCAGCGAGTCGAACTAGGTACCAGCGACTCAATAGTGGGCGGACCCAACGTTCAAAGGAAGCCCGCCACTTTCAAACAGTGTCACGTGACAGTGGACGCTGTTTGAAAGTGGCGGGACTTGACAGTGGACACTGTTTGAAAGTGGCGGGCTTCCTTTGAACGTTGGGTCCCGCCACTATTGAGTCGCTGGTACCTAGTTCGACTCGCTGGTACATCGTTCGACTCGCTGGTGCAAGTTCGATTCGCTGGCGCAAAGTTCGATTCGCTGGTGCAACGTTCGATTCGCTGGCGCAACGCTCGGATCCAGCGATTCGCTAGCGAATCGCTCGATTCGCAAACTATGACATCGGCCTTGGAGACTAATGCTAGCGTTCGGACGACATACCTCGCGCGCATCCCATGATCCGCAGCGCGTATTACGGCGTTGCGGCTTGCTCATATACGCGCCGATTGTGGAGCCGTTGGGCAAGCATTAGTCCATTGGGCATCCACAACTCCACCATCGACCGCTGTAGACCCACAATTTTGATCTGGATGTTGCTCTGATGTGACTCATTGAGCAGCAGGCTAGAATTCACGAAAGTGCTAAGAAAAATACTCTAATATGCGGTAGATAATTAAGAAAGAAAAAACTTCATAAACGAAATAATTAAAATGGTTCGTTTCGCTCTTCCAAGCCCGAGCTGATCTTACGTCAAAACACTTCTGCTCTTGCAATGTATTTCCCTACACCCCGAGACTAGCATACCTTTGCCTTTAAGAGTAATTCGATGCCCTGATCACGAAAATGACATTCATTTTTAGCGGTGGCGCCATCTGGCGCCAGTTGGCGTCACCTTGTCACGACATTTGTTTTCACCAAATTTGGTGTAAACTTCTGTATAGGGTTATTTCGTGCCCTAATTACGAAAACGACATTCGTTTCTCTCAGATGTCGGTCAGACTCTGCGATTGCATCGCGATGGACCAGTGCCGGAGCGACGCGATCGCTCCATCGCTTGTCCATCGCGATGCAATCGCTCTGCCTAGAGCGATTGCATCGCGCGATGCAGTCGCTCTGCCAAAAGTGCAAGATCAATACCGATGTCGACTGTATTGATGTGGGCGGAGCCAATCGCCCATCGCTTGTGCACATTGCTAGGCAGACAAGCGGTGGAGCGATCGCGTCGCTCCGGCACTGGTCCATCGCGATGCAGTCGTAGAGTCCGACCGACATCTCATTAGCGTTTTTGACCTGTTTTTGTTGAATAACTGCTGTTTTACGCCGCAGTTCGCGTTGCGAAAGTTATCACAAGAATGCTGAGTTGTGGGCAAAACTTTCGCCCCTGCCGGGATTCGTACCCGAACTTGTTGCTTTCCGGGCAAAAGCTCTCAGCCCTCGCGATTTACTACCGATCTCGGCTAACCGAGGACATCTTGTTATATGTGCGAGTGCTATAATTTTATGCATTGTAGGGCAAGACATCTGTCGTGCGTGAGCTTCACGTCTACGGTTCGGTGGTATCTGTTTCAGACAGGGATCCGTGCAAGTTCCAACAGGTATCAGGTTCGTTTTTATTTCATTTCTGGAACAGCACTGTTTTTAAGACACTGCGGCTACTCTTGGTAAATATAGCTTCAAAAAATATCGGGTCAGAACATAATATCGTAGCGGTTTTTTTTAGAGAGTATAAATTCAAACAACGTAAGTATCACTCGGAAAAACCGCGTATATCACTTGAAAGACTGTTTCCTCTCTACAAACACACAAACAACAACAAGCATCATTTGAAGTTTTCTTTAGAAATGTGTAGATGTAGTCAGATATAGTATAGGGTTGTCCATATTTTCTCTTTGGTTTTTCATTTCTAATCTTTCCTGAAAGAACAATTAATCAACATGTTGACGACAACGCGAGTTTTGGCTTTTTTGGCCACGTGGGACCGGGGCGATTTTGCGGGCGCGGCCGCCTCAGGTCGTTCAAGCAGATTTTGAGTGATAAATACATAAATAATGATCAATACAAAACCAGATCAGTAAATTGTAATGAGCACAACCTACCAGGGGTACAGTAGTGGAATTTCGATCGAAAGACATGGAATAACAATGAAAAAGCGAAATTGTCAGAACTAGCTGCAATGGACCTCAAAAGCAATTTTACGTTGATTATTCCAATCAAAACACACATATTGTCATCCCTAAGGTTCCTTATCTACTTCTACTACTATTTAAATCTTCACATTAATAAAAAGAAAAAGTAAACGAAAAATTTATTGAAATGAATTTTTGTATGGTTCAGAAATCCTCCTCTAAATTAAAGTATACGTGACCATTCTAGGGCCACTATGTTTGTAGCTACGTCAAGGTCTCTTCCATGGAATAAATACAAGAAACTTTAAAAGAATCAGGCGATCCACCTCGTGACGCGCGTGGTGGATCAGTAGCAAAGACTGGGGCAAACATGGCGCCGATCTTGCCTACCGCACTCCTTGCAAGGTTCTTCTTCAAATGGTCGGAAGGCGTGATTGTTGAGTTTGGTCGTTGATCTATTTCAATTCCTACCTACCCTTGCGCATTTGAGCTTTTGAAACATCCTGGCTGAAGGTCCTGATGTGTTCTTCAACATATCAACTTATTTCATTATGAAGCTAATTTGACATGAAGAAATTTGAATTGGAACAAAAGTCGGCCAGAAATTATGGGACAGCTCAATACTTAAAAGTTGGAAAACCCAAATGGCTGAAATTGTTATCTCGGCAACTGCTAATCTTCGGCTCACATAGAGAAAAATCGCCAACACGGAACTTCCTTGAATTCCATTGTTCTTCTCGAATCTTGCTCTAAGCGATCCTACCTTTTTCACTCAAATTAAAAACAATATTTGTATCGCACAAATTGATGATACGAGGACTTCAAAAACGAGCTCAATGTCTTTTTTTTTTAATTCTAAATCACTGATTTCCTGCGAAATGCAATCGAAATGAGCTAGTGAATATCACTGATTATATTTGTGTTTTTATTTTTTGTTTCAAACGTTCGAAATGAATGAAATGAAAAATGCAAGCGCGACGATTATGTGCCAACCCAATACCATGCTGAGGTTCATTAAAGGAGAGGTTCAGAGAGAGTCAGAGAAGATTCACGGGTCTGGTGTTCTGCTTAGTCGCATATTGTGTGGGAAGAAGCTGAGCGCTCTTCAAACCACACCTTGATTAAGCAAGGAATGTTTAGGAAAGTCCCAGATATCGCTATCACTTCCCTATGAGCTGAGCCAGTATTCATTGTTCAGACGCACGCGATCTCGCAATACTATAAAGGTTGCCGAAATGTTCATCTGAATTTCCACCGATGCAATATCGTACTGCATTCCGCATATGCCCAAGAGTGAATATACAACGGTTCTCAACCCATTCACTTCTTCAGGTCCAAGTTAGGAACAAACCAGCAACGAATTAACAAACGAACACAGCCAATTGCTAGTTGGTATTTAGTAGGGTTTAAACGGGGAGCTTGATTCTAAAAGATGCATGCATGCTATGGAGGGGCAGAAATGTAAAAGCAAAACATAAATCTATTCAAAAATCGTTATTCAATGCTATTTTTAAGGGGTTTCGGACAATTACTTATGGAGGAAGCTGCACGTATCGCTTTTTTCGAGCATGGATCGGAGAAAATCGTAGTCATATCGGGCGTGGGCACAAGAGATTATTACAGGTGAGACTCGGCAATTTTATTCCTTCAAGGTTGTGAGTTCAACTTTTCCTGTGCTTTCCCAAAGTTTTATGCCACAACCATTTTTCAGAAAGCTTGGATACGAGTTGGATGGTCCGTACATGAGCAAATCCCTGTCTGCTGAAGAACTTCGAATTTTAAGAGCTAGAAATTGTGGACAGGTCTAAATTATTCTACAAGACATGTGGTGCACTTCTAGTCGCATCACTTGAGGATGAGTGGGCTGCTCACCACTGTTACGATCTTGTCAAGAAATATGTTCGTAGTTTTGGAACAGTTGTGTAGCTTCCCATAAGAGGTATGGAAATGGAGTCTGTGAGGATATTTTATCCCGTGAATCTCGAAATACATTCAGTTCGGCGTATTTTTTTGGCATAAGTTTGCTGATAACGTGTCATTGGGCCAATATTGCTCCAAGTTGTACTGACGCCGGAATGATTCTGATATTTGTGATTAGGGCCCTTCCATGTGCAAGTTTGCAGAGAATCCGGTACACGAGTACTGCACTAAACTGGCGCAAAATTGCACTAGGTGGCGCTAGCACCAAGCATGAATTAGGCAAGGTTACGAAACTGTGGGGGGGGGGAGGAGGGGGCAGTCGGTGCCGCGGTGCGCAAAATGTTCGTGCCCTAGGTGCAAAGCGAGGGGTCCGTGAGCCA